ATCAAGCCAACAGCCACAACCTGGGGGGGGGGGGGGTTGAGTGGAACGAGCAAAGGCGTGTTTCTTCGCCGGTGAGATGAGCGAGTGAGCGGGCTCACGAAAAGAGACGGGATGCCCTTTTGCGCGAGGTGTGTTTTGTGGGTGTTTCTTTCTTTTCTTAGCTTTCTTTGCACGAAGCATGGAAAGCTAGTTACGAGTGGATGCTGCCTTGCTGTCGACTCAATTGAACAGACAACCGCCCCCCCCACCAAGGAAGAGGTGCAATCGATTCGACAACAAGGAGGCAAGTTCCACTGAAAGCAGGTCAACCCGTACCACCACCGCGGAGGGAAAGGTGTGACGGCATGCACCGAGCAACCGCGGTGCCTTCCCCCCCCCCAGGAGTTCCCGAACCTCGACCCAAATCCCCAAGACACGTGCACCACCATCTGCTACCACCTGCACGCCCGTTCCCACCACCACCACACACGGACCTGTCCCACCACCACCACCACACGGACCTGATGCCGCCGTGCCTGCTCGAAGAGGAGCCGTAGCTGACGCTCGGCCTCCCCCACCCACTTGGACAGGCAGTCCGCGCCCTTGCGCATGAAGAATGAGATGCGGTGCCCGCTCTTGCTGCACGCGTTGGCCAACGCTCGCGCCTGGCGGACGTCGTGGGGACGCACACGGCACACGACGACACGTTGCTTTAGGTCGTGAATATTCTCATTTTTATTGTCGAGTTTTTTCCCATTTTTTCGTCAGCAGTTTCACTTCGCTGACGTCGCTAGAGGTGTCTTGTACCTCTGCTTGCATTGCTGCGGCGCCTTTCCTTTGATTCAATTAAATAACTCCTCCGCCCCGGGCTCAAAAGGAATAGACTTCTCCTACGTCGCGCGCCTTATTTTCGGTCGCCTTTCGGCGCAACAAACTGCTCGGTGGTATGCGCCTGCAGCACTCTTGAAGTTGTTCCTGCTTTGGGCCTACTCTTGAGTTGTGGGTCCTACTTTTGCCTTGACCGATGCCGACGCAGCCCACTACATACGGTTTTAACAGACAAGGAAGATAAGCAAACACAAGTAAGGGATGAGCGCAAACCCGTGCGGCGGGAAGCGAAAAGGCTCTCTCTCTCTCTCGCTCTCTCTCCCTCACCGTCAGCGTCTTCCCTGTGCCGGGGGGCCCGTAGAACAGAACCCCCTTCGGGGGCTTGGCGCCGAAGCCCTCGAACAGCTCAGGGTAGACGAGAGGCAACATGACCATCTCCTTCAGCATCCGCACGTGCTTCTGAACAACGCGTTTGTTAGCGAGAGGAGGGTGGGCGGGGGGCAACGGGGAGGCGGCGGCGGGCGGCGCCCGCTCCATCCTTGAGAACACATCTCCGGGGGGTGGAAGGAGTGGAGTGACTTGGCAAACTTTGCGGTACCACGAGTGTAGTGGGTTAGTTATGCTGTCGTGAGCGCCTCGAGGCCCTTCGGAGCTGCGGCCGGCAGTGCTTGACGCCTTGCTGTCACAGAAAAAAACACGGCATATACCGTGAACAATCTCTGCAGTAGACCCCCACCCCCCACCCCCACCCCGCGGGCCCCCTTCAGACGATACAAGGGCTGTACCCACCTTGCCACCGCCGATGGAGTCGAACGTGATGCTCGGGTCGATCTCCATGGGGCTGACGTCCGCCCGGAGCAGATCTCTCGCGCTCGCCTTGTCCACGATGCTGCCGCTGCTCCCCCCGCCGGCCGCGCCGCCGCCCCCGCCCCCGCCGCCGCCGCCTCCCGCCGGGGTAGGCCCGAAAGAGTTGATCGGCTGGATGGAGCCCAGCTCGCGTTCGTGGGTCTTGCGCTGGTAGCGGTCGAAGCCTTGGTCGTGGTCGGCGAACCCTCCCCCCTCGTCGGAGCTCTCGCTCGAAGAGTCGAAGTGGCTTCGGCGGATGCCTCGATGGCGGCTCCTACGCCGCTCGCTTCCGTTCCTCCCTCCTCCGCCTCCTCCTCCTCCTCCTCTACCCGAACGCTTGCGCTTCACGGGCACGCTGCGAGGAAAGGGGGTGGGGGGGTGGGGGCAGGTGTGCTCAATACCCCCACGGAGGCTGTTCTTGGGACTTACGAGGAGAATGGGTTTGGCTCATCTCCGCTGGAAGAAACGCCGGTCCCCACGGCCCGGTTCCGTAGGGCGAAGCACCCCCCTCTTTTTGTTAAAAATCGATTCCATCCGCGTACAGTAGATTCCATATGCATACATACGCCGAAGAAAAAATGCACCACCCCAGCAAAGGCAGAGAGCCCGCAACACGAAGAGGCAAGCATCACAACCAAATACCGAAGTCCGCTCACGCTGCGTGTTTGCTGGTGTGTGCAACCGCTACTTACGGTAAGGGGTACATCTCTCCCTCTCCTCTCTGCATGATGCTGTCGGTTCTTTATCAACGCGCAACACTAAGTTCCCCCTCGTCGCTGCACGTACCTTTGGGAGCCTATGTCGTACGGGATGATTTTGCGAGTGTTCTGGAGAGACCAAAAAGAAAAAGCGCGGCGCGAGGTACCATCATGCGGCAAGCAGGGCAGAACGAAGCCGAAGTATCGGGCGGCGAGGCGCGGGGGGGGGGGGGGGGGGGGGGGCCAACGGGGGAGTTTTTAAAAAAACCCCAAAATTCGAAAAAAAGGGCCCGGGGGCCGAAAGAAAAAAAAAAAAAAAATCTGGGGTTTGAGGCCCCAGGGGGCCCCAAAAGGGGGGGAACCCCCCCCCCGGGGCTCCGGGGGGTTCAAACCCAAAAAAAAACCCCCCCAAAAAAACAAAAAGGCCCCCCCCAAAAAAAAAAAAAAACCCCAACCCTTCCCCCCAAAAAAACTGGTACCCCCCAAAAAAAATTTGGGGGGGGCCCCCCCTTTGTCCCCAAAAACGGAGGGGTTTTTTGGTCCCTTTTGAAATAAATTTTTTTGGGCCTGGGCCCCCCCCCGGGGGGGGGGCCTTTCCTCGGGGGGGAAGTTAAAAAAGGGGG